TGTCTGTTTGCTTTGGAGCCATCTGTGAGTAATAACTCTGTGGTCGTCGGTATCGACTATGCAAATTTGATATGTTATGATAGTTAAACGGATGTACTACAAATATCTACTTATGATTTATGGATAAGTATGTGGGTCTGAATTTTGTTTCTGATATGAAATTTGATATGAGACATCATTCATTAAACTCTTTACTTTGTTATTATTCACTGGGTTTCGCTCATTATGTATGTATATGTAGGTGACCAGGCGCGTGACTAGGCTCAGTGAAGATTGCCTAGAGAGTTTTTGTCAGCCAACCTTTGTGCCTCCCGAGGAGGTCTCGTACGTTTTGTAGTCATGTTTTGTGAACGTATAACACTTTGTTTTCTCTCCGAATTGTAAACAAGTTTCCTGTTAACTGTATATTGGGCTAAGTCCCTTTTGGCTATATCTGTAATCAATGTGACGTAAGACTACTACATTATGGCGTCACGTCTATGTGTATAAGGTTTAAATTTTTTTTGTCTCATATATGTCTCCACAGTTCAATGGACTATGCATGTTTCTTTACTTGCTTCTGTAGCCCCTAATTATAAGTTATTCTGTTCAGAAGCCTTTGGTAATTCAAGGATTACTGGCCGATTACGATGCTAAATCTTTAGGGGCGAGTTTGGGTCGTGACAAATCCTTACCTAAAGTTGATGTTAAGTGTATAACTAGCTACAGTTCTAAATTGCCTTCAATGCTCCAACAATTCCTAGTAATTCTCTCATTTCTCTAGCTTTTTTATTTCAACTTTCCTTCTCTCTCTCTCTCTCTCTCTCTCCCCCTACGTTTTTTAGCTATAAAATACACCTAGAGGGTAAAATAGTATAGTGAAATAAATCAGGTGACAAATACCATTTCTCATATAGTATAATAGACGGCAAATTCAAGTACACAACCCCACCTTGATATTACCAAGTGAAATACTGAATAAAAGTGTATATATCTAGTATTATTATAAAGAGAAGTCTTCTCTGGGTGTTTATGTCTCATAGCTTTCTTCTGATGCAGCAAGTGTAGCAACAACATGATAATATCAACGACTATGCCATCAGTTCATTACAAGCATTTGTGGAAGCTACAATGATCAAATACAATACATAAAATTAATATCATTCAGGGTTTACAATATATTGAAAATGTTTACTGTTGAAAAGTATTTAGATTGAAAAGTGAGCTGATGCAAGTTTGCAACATGGCCAGAAAAAAAAAAAGATTGAAAAGTGAATTGGAATCCAACTTTATTTTGGATTACTGACATCTTGAATTCCCCTCGAGCGGTAATGTAATACTATATTTTAAGGTATAGAACAACAAGCAAACTTAAGTAAAAAAGAATTTTTAGAATCTTATAAAACATGATTTAATAGCGGTGCGGGTCGGTGCGGTTTGGAAGAAAAATAGAAACCGGCGGATTGATAAAAGTGTCACTAGAATTTGCCATTTTTCTTACCAAAAACCGGCGGTTCAATTGACAAATAATAACGAATTTGCCTTGGCGGTGCGGTTCGGTGCGGTTTTGGCGGTTTCGGCGGTTTCGGCGGTATTATGCACACCCCTAATCCTAACAGCAATAAAACAAGCCAAGGCACCAACCACAGAATGGAGAAGTAAGAGATCTGGATTCAATTTCAAGAAAGGTCGGTCATTTCCAAAAAGGCAAAATACAGGATCCTCTAGTAGCTCTAGTCAAAGTAGTGCTCGATTTCGAACTGTCCAGATTGCAGAAGGAAGCATAAAAGTGCGTGTTATTGTGCATCAAGTGCATGTTTTCGGTGTGGCAAGATTGGCTACATGGTTAGGGGTTGTCAAATGAGATCCGATGATGTTAACCGCCCTGCAGCAAGTTTAGCCGGGTCTGCTTCTATGGCAAGGTCACATGCGAGAACTAATGCCAGTGACAACACTGGAAATAAAACGCTAAGGCAAGGGAGAGTGTTTACATTGGTACCTGGGGATGTACAGAATACCGATCAATGGTGTTAGGTATAATCTCTATTTGTGCTCAGAATACCTATGTATTGATTGATTCTGGTTCCACGCATTTATTTGTATCGCATGCTTTTTCTCGAAAATTAACTAGACCCTTAGAATCCATGAATTATTTATTATCTGTATCTACGCCATTTGGGGACTCTATGGTATGTGTGTATGTGTATCCGACATGTGATATTGTGATTGGTGATGTGACGTTGTATGTTGATTTATTGTCTTTGGGAATTAATCATTTTGACTGCATATTGGGTATAGATTGGTTAATGAAGTACTGTGCAACTATTGACTGTGTGAATAAGTCTGTTATATTTCGTCCACCAGGGTTACCTGAGTTTGTGTTCACTGGGAATGGGGTGGTCCCTCCTCCATACTTGATTTCTGCTATGAAAGTTGTTAAATTGCTTATAAAGTGATGTAGAGGGTATATGTGTTGTGTTGTGACTGTGACTTCTGATAATCCCACTGTAGAGAACATCCCTATAGGAAATGAATTTCCTGATGTATTTCCAACTGAATTGCCAGGAGATTTAATTGATAGGAAAATTGAGTTTACTATCGATGTTTACCCAGAACACAACCAATTTCCAAAACCCCATATAGAATGTCTACTTCTGAATTGAAAGAGTTGAAAGTTCAACTCCAAGAACTCTTAGACAAGAAATTTATCCGTCCGAGCACATCACCTTAGGGTGCTCCAGTGTTGTTTGTCAAAAAGAAAGACGGGTCCTTGAGGCTGTGTATTGATTACCGTGAGTTCAACAAGGTAACTGTGAGGAATAAATATCCATTACCCCGAATAGATGATCTATTTGACCAACTTCAGGGAGCGCAAGTGTTCTCCAAGATAAATCTTAGATTAGGGTATCACCAGTTAAAAGTTAAAGCAGAAGATGTAGAGAAAACTGCATTCAAAACTAGATACGGACACTATGAATTTTTGGTAATGCCGTTTGGGGTGACTAATGCACATACTGCCTTTATGGACCTTATAAACAGGGTGTTTAAATCATATCTGGATGAAATTGTTATTGTATTTATTGACGATATTTTGATTTACTCCAAAAATAAGGAAGATCATGAGAATCACTTGAGAACCATGTTACAAACTCTGAGATAAAAGAATCCATATGCAAAATTTTCCAAATGTAAATTTTGGCTTGACAGTGTGACATTTCTGGGACATGTAATCAACAAGGATGGTATCTCTATTGACCTATAGAAAATCAAAGCCATTGTAGATTGGCCAAGACCAACCAACATGTCAGAAGTTAGAAGTTTTCTGGGGCTTGCAGGTTATTATCGCAAATTTGTGAAAGATTTTTCAAAACTTACTATGCCATTGACGCAGTTGACACAGAAAAATGCATTATTTGATTGGAATGATCAACGAGAGTCAGCCTTCCAAGAATTGAAAACTAGACTGGTAAATGCACCCTCTAACTTTACCTAACGGAACTGATGGGTTTCAGATTTACAATGATGCTTTCTACAAAGGTTTGGGTTGTGTGCTAATGCAGAATGGGAAAGTAATTGCTTATGCCTCTTGGTAACTTCGTCCTTATGAAAAGAACTACCCGACTCATATCTTGAACTGGCAGCTGTAGTGTTTGCTTTGAAAATCTGGCATCATTATCTGTATGGTGTAACTTGTGAAGTATATACAGATCATAAAAGTTTAAAATATTTCTTCACCCAATAGGAGCTAAACATGAGGCAAAGAAGATGGCTAGAATTAATCAAGGACTATGACTTGCAAATTCTGTATCATTTAGAGAAGGCAAATACCGCTGTAGATGCATTGAGTAAAAAATCTATTGGGAATCTATCATGTTTGCTCACTGGTTAGAGAGAATTGTTGTGTGAATTGGAACGAAATGAAATTGAAGTGGTTTTGCATTAACATGGTGGAATTCTAGCTGCTATTTCTGCCCAACCCGCAATTATTGAAGAAATAAGAGACAAGCAATTGCAAGATGCATTTTTGAAAAAGACTATGGATAAAATTAACTCAAAACCGAGACTGAGATTTGTGCCTGATAATAATGTGTTGAAATTTTAGAATCGCCTTTGTGTACCAGATTGTTGTGATTTGAGAAAACGTGTTACGACTGAAGCCCATAATTCCAAATTTGCTATGCATCCGGGGAACACAAAGATGTATCATGATTTGAGACAGAACTTCTGTTGGCCTGGAATGAAGAAAAACATTGCTGACTTCGTGGCTAGATGTTTGTATTGCTAACAAGTTAAAGCTGAACATCAACAACCCACTGGATTGCTTCAACCGCTTCCAATACCGGAATGGAAATGGAAGCATATTACCATGAATTTTATTATTGGACTGCCTCGCTCCTTCCGAGGTATGGATTCTATTTGGGTTATTGTTGATCGCTTAACTAAGTCTGCCCATTTTCTGCTTGTCAAATCTATTTACAATGCGGACAAATTGACCAACGTTTATGTTAATGAGATTGTGAGGTTATATAGTGTGCCAGTATCCATTGTATCTAACAGAGATTCAAAGTTCATGTCAAGGTTTTGGCAAAGTATGCAACAGGCTTTGGGGACTGAAATGAAGCTATGTAGTGCTTATCACCCACAGACAGACGGCCAAACAGAATGAACCAATCAAACTTTGGAAGATATGCTATGTATGTATGTGTTGGACTTCCAAGGGAGTTGGGAGACTTACCTCCCTTTAGCACGAGTTCGTGTACAACAACGGTTACCATTCGAGTATCTACATGACTCTTTATGAAGCTTTGTATGGTAAGAAGTGCCGTTCTCCGATTTATTAGGCCAAGGTAGGTGACAGACCATTATTGGGACCAGAACTTGTGCAAGAAACAACTGAAAATGTGAAATTTATTCAACAGAGATTAAAAACTACACAAAGCTGCCAAAAGAGTTATGCAGGTGTTCGAAGACGAGACAGAGAATATAAAGCCGAAGATCACGTGTTTATCAAAGTGACTCCTATGAAAGGGCAAACGCGGTTTGAAGTGAAAGGTAAATTGGCGCCGAGATATGTTGGGCCATATGAGATTCTTGAGAAGATCAACCTGGTGACGTATCAGGTAGCCTTACCTCCGGTCATGGAACATATGTACAATGTTTTTCATGTTTCTATGCTTCGGGATTATTTGAGAGACCCATTACATGTAATTGAGCCGACCCATGTGCTTTTGAAAGATGATTTTACATACGAAGAGAGGCCAATTCAGATTGTGAATCGCCGGATCAAAAGATTGAGAAACAAAGAAATACTGTTGGTAAAAATTGATTGGCAAAACCACGAAGGAACTTATGCTCAATGGGAAACAGAAGAAGATATGATGAAGATATATCCAGATTTGTTTCCATTGGACCCAATATTCTTCCAAAATAAAGGTAATTCGAGTTTGGAGGACCAAACTCTTTAAGGGGGGAAGACAGTAAGAACCTCGACATGTGATTAGTTGTTTAACCATGATTAATTATGCCTAATAAGTAATTAAGGTGAGATTTTGAAGAAATTGCATGTGTGTCACATTATTTGTACTCATATCTGTCTAATGTAGAAATATCTGTTTGAATTTTTGCCTTGCCTTGTGAATTGAAGGCCTTATTGGTATCTGATCACGAAATTGACTTGGTTTTTGTGTTAATTGAAATTTTTTAGAATTTTATGGTAGGTTTAATTAAAATTTGAATCGGAACGAATTAATTAGAATAATTAATGTCTTGGTTACTGGTAAGCTCAATTATTTAAATCTTTTTAATTAAGCCTATTTAAGGCTTGTGAGAGCTCTCGGACACGTTTTTACACCTTCATTTCTACAATCTTGATCTCAAGAACGTAAGGGGGAGAGCTAGAGTTTGAGACCAAAAACAAGAGGAAGACCAAGAATTGGCTTGAGATTACACTTTTATACTTGAGAATTCAAACTTGAGGTAGGAAATTCAACCCTCGGATTGTATAATTTTGATGCTTACACCATGGATTCAAGAGAATTGAGTGGATTATATGAAAATTGAACTAGAAGTGTAGAAATTGAACCACACCATGTATGCATGCACTTATATCACATTTTTGAGTTTGAATTTCAAACAAATTTCACATGCATGTGTCTATCATGCCTTGTCTTTGAGAATTCATCACATTTCTTATCAATTGACCTTAATTGATCATATTTTGGAAAGTTTAAGTTCATAACAATTCATGCATGTCATGTTCATGGCATATTCATAAGTTTCAAGTTAACTTTTGAGTAATTCGCATGCTTTTGGACCTAGGTTTCAAAGAATGATCTTTACTTCACTATGTTTTCCAAGTCTATATAAGTTTCTTCATGTTTTTGGCCCATAGACCATGATTTGCAGCTTTGAAATTAAGTTTTGCACTTGGCAAAGCAATCTGGAAATTCCAGATTCTGCCTCTCCGCTCGAGCGACAGATTCTACGCTCGAGCGACCACTCTGTGATCTTGCACTTCCGATCAAGCAACCAGAAGTCCGCTCGAGCGTGAAATGCATGCTCCCAAAAGTTCACATGTTTTGCAGACCGCTCGAGCGACAAGAGTTGCACTCAAGCGAGTACCTGAGTCTCACGCTCGAGTGACTTCGAGCGTCCGTCAGGCGTGAAATTCACACAACTAGCACTTTTGTAGAAGTTTACAGACCGCTTGAGAGGCAGAAGTTGTGCTTGAGCGACCACTCATATTTTGCATGCCCGCTCGAGCGAAGGAAGTTAAGCTCAAGTAGAACCCCTGTTTTCAGCAATTTTCGTTAAGAATTTTCAAGTACATTTTAGCATCCTCATTGCATCTTAGGCATTCCTATGCCCTAATTAAGATGGAATAATGAGGAAAAGAGGTAGAACACACCACTATAAGAAAGAATTAAGTTAATGATTTCGGGTGTGTAATTCTGTACATATTCATTTTGTATCTTTGTAGGTCACACGCCGCAAGTTATCTGATTTGTCTACTCTGTTTGTTTGCTTTGGAGCCATCTGTGAGTCGTAACTTAGTAAAGCTATGTTTAACTTTATTTATTTTCTGTATGATGTAATAAGATCTATTTTCTGAACTGCTATCTGGAATGCTATTTGTGAATCATGACTGAATGTCCATTTTTCCTGAAATGTATTTGTGGCATCCATAGTTCACGTGGCCTTCGCCCGAGGGTAACAATACCGTGGCTGATATGTACGTGGTTCTCGCCCAGGGTTAACAACATTGTGGCTTATGTTCACGTGGCCCTTGCCTGGGGGTAACAATACCAAGGCCTATATTCACATGGCCCTCGCCTAGGGGTAACAATACCATGGCTACCTAAGCGCAAGATATGGACCTTTATGGTCATCGGTATCGACTATACATGTGGGTCTCAGGACCAAGTTGATATGATAGCTAATAGATGTACCACCTATAACTGTTTATGATTTCTAGATAAGTATGTGAATCTGAATCTGTTTCTGATATAAACTCTGATTTCTAATTTTGAGATAGACATCATTTATTAAACTTTTTACGTTGTTATTATTCACTGGGTTCCGTTCACACTATTATTTATATATGTAGGTGATTAGGTGCGTGGCTAGGTGATGACTACCTGGAGAGTTTTTGTCAGCCAGTCTTTGTGCCTCCCGATGAGGTTCCATACGTCTTATGGTCATGTGTTTGTGAATGTAAAGGCTTTGTTTTTTTTTGGGTTATGAGCAAGTTTTCTGTTATCTGTATATTAGGCTAAGTCCCTTTTTGGCTATATCTGTAATGAATGTGACGTGAGACTATTGCAATATGACGTCACGTATATGTGTATAAAGGATTAAAATTTCTGTCCCATATCCGCCTCCACAGTTCAATGGACTATGTACGTTTCTGTGTTTGCTTCCTCAGCCCCTAAGTATAAGTAATTATGTTCAAAGGCCTTTGGTAATCGGCCGATTATGATGCTAAACCTATAGGGGCGGGTTTGGGTTGTGACAGGCGCTCCTCAGTCACCATGAGTTCTAGTGCAAACCTCGACAAACTGGTAAATATGGCCTCAAACTCGGCCACCGGTGTGTTTAACTGCACCAACTTAGAGAACTCTTCTTTCAACTTCTCCCAACTGTGGGAGGCAAAAACTTGTCCTGGAAGGCGTCAACAAAAGCCTCTCAAGTCCCTCAAATGCGCCCTCACGCATATTTCTACCATTGATCCGCGTCTTCTTTTAGCTGGAAGGACACCAAGGTCACTCTCAAACCCCCGTCTTCGGTGCCAAGCATCTAAAACGTCTTCACCATCTGCTCTAACCACTCATCCGCTTTTAGTGGCTCCTTGGGATCTCCCAAAAACTCCTCCAGATTTGACTGAAAAAACTCCCTCTTTAGAAAAGATGGCCTTACCTCAATGACTGAATCCTAGACTTGATTCTCAGCCCTGAAAATGTCCATAGATTCCCGTAAAGCTCTGGTCATTTCGCGAGCTAAGGCGCCCATGGCCAATTGACCAATCGGTTCAGCTACATTGGCCTGACCAACCCCTTCTTCTTGTGCTGGAATATCATCCGGTAGAGGCATCTCATGCCTTCTAGGCCTACCATGCCTACCATCACCATATCCACATCCTGACATCCTAATAAAGGTAACAAACGATATTAGCACATTTACAAATGTGCCGAAGCTAACTCACTCACGTCTTAATGCAATGGACAATGGTAAATCACTCCGCATAAGCACGTAATCACACAAACACATATGAATTTCCTTCCTAGATAATGACCATCCCGCGGCGTTGCTAGAGTTCCAATTAAAAACAACAGTGATCAAGTGCTCTTCTAATAAGACTTCCAGAAACCCGTTGACCCAATCAGCATCTTAGGAACTAAATCTCATACCCATATAATTATATAAGCATGTTATCACATAAGCATACAATACATACTAACGTCTCAACCAAGCGAGACAAACCCATTGTGGTACTAACCACTTCCTACGTACCCAAAGTATTCAAACCCAGTACGCTCTGATACCAAGTTGTAACGCCCCAAAATATTATAGTAAAGACAATCCTTAAGCAGGGAAATAATAGAAATAATATTCTTTCATTCATTAGAGCTCGTTTACAAAAGTTAACACATGCGATATACATTCACAAATTTTTGTCTTGAATCTATAGCATGTGTTGCAATGTTAGGAGAATTAAAACTAAACATATAGTCATCTGCCCTATAGGCTTACATCTTTCCAAGTCATTACTTGGTTATACAAAAGTGAGCCTCAATACAATTTAAGCCCTTGGCTGTACAAAAGAATAAAACAAAATAAAGAAGCTCTTGCTCCCAAAAGTCCTTCAAAGCAATTGCCTTGGCGGAGGCATGTCACCAACACCTGAAAATGGTTTTCCCAAATAAGGTGAGCCAAAACCCAGTAGGAACAATTTAACACAGTATATGAAATTTAACAAAGATATAAGTACAATGTGCATATACAATGCTGGTGACAAAATATCCACATTTTATATAACTGTAAAGCACCAAAGTTCATATTTCAATTCAGTCTCCTTCAGTTCATTTCAAGTTCATTTATTCTTCTCAATTTATGAGTCAAGTTCATTATCTTTCAACAACTCAACTGAGACTATAACTCAGTGATTTTTTCAATTCAATACGCTACCACACAAACACTTCAAATTTTGCCATTTTACGAAAATTTCGTTTGCGGGATTGGCACCCATGTATACATACGATTTCAGGACTTTCACCTTGGATACTCTGGCCAACTTAATTTCAATGGAGTCCATCTCCTATGTCCTTCTAAACAATGGAGTATATCCCCTTTCTCCTCCTAAACAATGGAGTACGTCCTATTTCTCCTTCCAAACATTATACATATACAATGTATTTAAGAACATAATCATATTCAATGATAACCAACATTAGATTAGTTTCGATTTACCTAATCCTCATGCATTTTCTACAACAATCATTGCTATCCTCCACCGATATCCCAATACAGATATACAATCTTTTCAATAGATAAATTATTCAAATTTTCATAGGTGAGAGACAACACATGTCCAACTCCACCATTTACATCAACAATCATCTAATTGCACAATACCATTATCAATTTTAGTTATTTGTACAAAATAACAATTTGACCCATTTATGGCAAAACTCCCTCTGTTCATATATCAACCCAAGTGTCAAAATTAACTATTTTAACACAACATAACCTCATATTCAAACTCCATACCCACTTATTTCACATCCACCAAAAACCTTTCTTTTTATTTCACACCCAAACCCTAAGTTTGTTCAAACACTCCCAAATCCCACCATGGTTACACAACAACAAATAACCAAGATAAAAACCATATGAAAGTGTAGAAAAATCCCTACCTCAAAGAGAGAAGACAAGCCAAGCAAGAGTGAACCTTCAAGGATGCCCAAATCCAACTCTAATCGGATAAAAATGAAGATCTTGAGATGATCTACCTTTTTATCAAAGAGATTAGGGTGAAGAAATTACTAGAACTAGGTGAAAATGCAGAGAGAGTGTATTTTAGAGAGAAAGGGTCCCAACTTTAGGTTTTAGGGGGAAAAGATTTGAAAAAATGATGTAAAAAGTCATTTTCGCGACTTGATATACGCACAGTCCGCTTGAGTGCAAGAGTTGACGCTCAAGCGTAGACACAATAAGTTGTTCTGCTCGAGTGCAAGAAAGGCCGCTTGAGCACCAAGACACAATGAACAAGACTCTTACTGTTCGAGTGCAAGAAGTGATGCTCGAGCGTAAAAAACACACATCCAGTAGTTTTGCAGACAACAGACCAACGTTCGAACGCCAACCCGCTCGAGCATAGAAATCACTTTCCCAGTAGTTTTGTAGACTTGCAAAAGTACTGAGAGTTTGCAAAGCCCGCTCGAGCGCAGGAAGTATCGCTTGAGCGGAGGACCAAAATTTTGGGCAACATAAGGTTTGACAAAAAAGCAACCAACCTGCCCAAACGCAACCACAACAACCCAAAAGAAAATTTCAAAGAGACACAAAGGAAGCAAGAGGTAAACAACAATATGAAAGAATTAAACTCGAGTCCAGGATACCACAAGAGTCGGGTCAAAACCGGATTGCTATAATAAGTATGCTATGAAGTAAAGATAAATGTATTGAAAAACTCTTAGTCGAGTTGTTGTTTGAGGATCTTTTAAATATTGCACTTAGAGCCTTTATATAATGTTGGAAAAATCCTTATTTCTACTTAACTGCAAGAAACGTGGCAGTCTCTCTTGGTGACATGTGTTCTTGATGCTAAGCTTGATCCCCCAAGAATAGAAATGGCTTTGACCTCCACAGATAATGCCTATCTTTATAACTTTGACATCATCTATCAAGCTCCTTGAAGCCACCACGTGTCCCTTAACAATCAAATTGGAATTTATTTTGCATGATTTAGGGGGAAAACTTCTTTGTTGTAGCATGAATTGATCCTTAAAGCCTATTCTCTTATTGTATATGTTTATCCACAAAAATCCTCAAACTCAACCTTGCGTGATTTGGAGAATTTGGTTTTATATATTGTAGCCTTGTCATTGATTTGCCAAATCTTCAAATTACATGTAATTTTTATCCACAACAGCCATCTGGCAACAAACTAAGAGATAAGACACCTTGTTAGGTAATAAGCCTTAATAACCTCCTAATCATTAGGAACAATTGAGGCTCCATTATTTTAAATAATTATTTAATTAATAAGTCAACCAAACAACTTAGTTAATTAATTAAATTTAAATAACAAAAGAATTTCCCTTTGCCCAGCCGCCACTTCCTGTATCCTTGGTAGTGGGTCTCAAAACATCTTTGATTCCTCATCTTTCATTGCCATGTGGCGTTAAAATTTAGAGAATTGTCACGTGGCAAATTTGTCAAAAAAGGTACAAACACAAACACAAAAAATCATAACTAAATATCTTAAAATAATGTCATAATTAAATAAAAAATTGGTAATAATTAAATAAAAAAATGACGTAACTAAGAGTACATATAGTATGGAAGTGTATATAATAAAATTCTCCTTTACTTTATAACATTTTGAACTTTGAATTCCTAATTTTGTCACATTAAACTCCACAATTTTAAAATGGTTTTCACCTCTCCTTTTATTTTCCTAGCTACATTCTACTTACTTTTCTACCACCATTGCTATCATCATCTCTTATTTTCCTTCTATTTCACATATCTATTTTTCTCTTTCCTACCAATGCTACATATTTCCCTTCTATTTCTCCTACCATCTCTTTCTCTTTCTATTATGGTGATGCTTCATATCTTCCTTTATTTTTCATATTTGGAGCTACTTTTCCATGCTCTTTTACTATCTTTTCTATCTAATAATATTGATATTGTCGCATATATACGATTTGTACATAGTAGTGAAAGGAAATGGAGTGAGGGCGATATAAAGAAGTTGCAACTTGCAAGTATGGGTAAGGAAGGAAGAGAAAGGACTTTCAAGTGATGGCATTAGGTGTTAATAGTGTATCCAAAAAAAGATAGGAGTTGCATTTGGTAGTAAGGAGGCTTTGCTTATGCTACAAGACTAGTTGAGGTAAGAAAAAGGAGAGATTGTGGCTATTGGCAATGGAGATGCCGATAGTAAGTGGTTACTAATAGGAAAAATGGTATATGTAGAGATAATTTATAAGTCAAAATTTTAAAATATATGTTGTTAATAGTAAATTTGGTTAGGAGATAAAATTGTAATAAAAATTTTAAAAAATGTGCGCATAAAAAATTAGGGGTGCTGCTATTAGAACCTATCTTTTTTTCTTTGGACCCTTATCTCTTTTTTTTTTTTTTTTTAATTCCAGTTTTATCTAAACATGAAATTACATTTTCAACCACATCTCTAACATTCTAACCCTAATTTTCTAAACCTTAACCCTAACCATTCCCATCACCTCTAGCCATCGCCCACCCTCCCCATCATTGTTTGCCACGATCTCCGATCGATCATGGCGACACTTCATTCCAACACAATGGTATTTCTTCAACAAAAAAAAAAAAAAAAAACAATAATTCAATTCCGAGAGGTGGATGACTACTGGAAGTTATGCACCAGCTCAGAGAAGCAACCAGCAGAGTGCCTCCACAACCCCATCACAGTAAGCACTCCAAAGCAGAGGCCCCAGTTTAAACAACTGCAAACCACCACCCAGGGCATTTCCAAGACACCATGCAAAGCAGACCAGCACTCAAACAGAACCGCACCAAACAGGAAAAATGGTATATGTAGAGATAATTTATAAGTCAAAATTTTAAAATATATGTTGTTAATAGTAAATTTGGTTAGGAGATAAAATTGTAATAAAAATTTAAAAAAATGTGCGCATAAAAAATTAGGAGTGTTGTTATTAGCACCTATCTTTTTTTCTTTGGACCCTTATCTCTTTTTTTTTTTTTTTTTAATTCTAATTTTATCTAAACATGAAATTACATTTTCAACCACATCTCTAACATTCTAACCCTAATTTTTCTAAACCTTAACCCTAACCATTCCCATCACCTCTAGCCGTCGCCCACCCTCCCCATCATTGTTTGCTACGATCTCCGATCGATCATGGTGACACTTCATTCCAACACAATGGTATTTCTTCAACAAAAAAAGAAAAAAACAATAATTCAATCCAAAAAAATCAACAAAGAAAAAACAAGCCCGCTATCTGTTCTCTCTCTACCCATTCCCTATACTCAGGTCCCCGTAATGGCCACTACCAAACCTATCATCATCACTCTCTCCTTCATCTTATTCTTCTTTTTCTTCTTCATTATCTTCAATTCTCAACAGTCCAATCTCAACCCGGATTGCTCCAACCATTGGATCCACATCCGAAACCTCCCCACCCAATTCAACCTTGGCCTCCTCTCCACCTGCTTGGATTTCCCTCTCTTCACCGACTTCTGCCTCTACCTTCCCAACCACGGCCTCGGATCCAAGACCTAAAACCATAGCCACAGTTGGTTCCGCACCGACCTATTCATGCTCAAACTCATTTTCTACTGCCGCATGGCGAGACTTGTATGGAATTTCAGCCAACCCATCTCGATTGGTCAACCGCTCATTTTCCGTCGGAGAAACCAAAGCCAATCGACCCCCGATCTCTATGGTAGCGAGGGAAGTCCTTTATTTTTACCCATTCCCTTCTCTTTTTCTTCTTCTTCTTCTTCTTCTTCTTCTTCTTTTTTGTTTTTGTTTTTGTTTTTGTTTTTGTTTTTTTCTAGGAACCATTGATAGCTCTTATTCTATCTTTCACCGTGGATGGTTTATTGTATGTAGCTCTTATCTTGGCCTTGGTTGGTTGATAGTGGTCAAAAGTAAGCACTAGGGTTTGGTATATAATTGGTATTAAGATAGGAAATTCATTTTGTTAGGTGGGGGGTTTAAAGAAATGGAGTCAAAGTAAAGAAGTGGGTGCTAATAACAACCCTCGATATCAAGATCAAGTTTAGAAAGTTTCAAATAATTTATCTTTTTATTTTTTTATCTTTTTTTTATCATATCACCTCTCTACTTTTCTGCACATGTTTTCGTAAAAAGACAAAAAGTACACTTATTTAGGTCATCCCAAACAACTCCTAAAAATATGAGTTAATTTATTGATTTTTCGACTTATTTAGTTTATATTACTTTTTTATTTTTTACACGTCTTTTTATAATAAATAAAAAAAATAATTTATTTAATACTTTCAAAACAATTCTAAATAGAAGATAATGCAAACTAGTCAATTAACTTTATAATAATAACATAATAGGTCGTGCACATAATTTTTCCGGTAAAATTTTTTCAATAGGCACTAACAATTAGTTCAATTTGACACATGGTTCAAAATTAAAGGAAATCTTCATGGACATATATCATAAAGAGCGAAGCATACTATAGGACCATCAATTTAATTTGCATTTGAAGAAACTAAAATGTCAAGAGTTTAATTTTTTAGGACGTCAAGTAGGTTATTTTTTATATTTTTTTATTTTCAAATTTTCACATACATTTATTTCAATTTTTTATTTTTTAATTGTGACAATCAAGCAATCAAAGTTTAACTATAATTATGGTCTTTTAATCAGTTATCATTAAAAAATTAAACATAAAATTTCACGCGAGTATTATGTGAGCAAATATTAAGAATATTAGAGAAAAAAAAATGAAGACAAATTATATTTTGAGGAAATTACAAAAAAAAAAAAAAAACCCTAGAGTTTTTTTTTTTTTTTCTTGATTAGAAAAAAAAACCCTAGAGTAAAATCCTAGAGTTTTTTTTTTTTCTTGATTAGAAAAAAAAACCCTAGAGTTTGTTCCTTGTAACAATATAAAATTTTAATTTTTAATTTTCTCAATTTAAATTTAAAATTTTTCATTTGTTTTCAATCTAAGTCATTTGCCTATTTTAATTAAGTAAAATCGATATAAAATAGATATTTTAGTTATTAAACTCAATTAAAATGAATGTTTTAGACATTTTATATATACCTATATTGATTTTAATGATTAAAGTAAAATCGACATAAAATGGATACTGTAGTCATTAAACTTAATAAAAATAGATATTTTAGACATTTTATATATACTTATATAGAGTTTAATGATTAAAATATTATTATTTTTTTTGTTGATTTTAGTTAACAAAAGTAGGCAAATGATTTAAATTAAAACAAACAAAAAGATTAATGTTCAAATTGACAAAATAAAAAATTTGGCCTTTATATTATTAAAAAAGTCAAATCCATAGATTTTATTTATTTGTTTATTTATTTTTTGTGTAATTGTCTCTAATATTAATATAAAAGGTCCAATCTTGAGATATTTTTATTCAAATATACTTGGTAGCCCGAAAAGAATGGGCTCAAATGGCCCGAATAGGTGTTAGTCGGACGTCTGCCCGGACGACTGGGTGAAAACTTGTCTACCGCGGTTGTCATTTTTGTCGACTGCGGCTGTCAGCCTTCTCGCTGGACAACTGACAAGACGATCGAGTGGACGTTCGCCCTAATAACCGGCAAGATGAATTTCGAATAATTCGAACCAACCTCCTTTTCGAACTACCAAGCATTGCTCTTTTTTATTTTATTTTATTTTATTATTTTTATAATTGTTCCTTATATCTTATATCTTTTAATTTTCACTTAAATTTTAAACCATAAAATGATGGAACGACCCTATTGCTAGGGGTTGGTTTGGGATGTGGGCTAACTTTTTGGTTATTTTAGTTTGAGGCTAAAAAGTCTTGTTTGTGATGATTTTTTTTTTTACTTTTTTAACTTTTGTGAAAGAAAAAATATAATGATTATGGGTTATATGTGATGTTTTATCTTATTAGAATAAAAAATTTATTTTATTTTTGTAACCAACAAGTCCCAAACTTTTTCTTCCTAAACGAACCCTAATAATTGTTTTATTTAAATTGGGAAGGATTAAATTGAAATTTCACATTAAAATTTGAGGGGGTAATAGTAAAGATGAAAGTAACGCCGAAAGATGTGAAAACTCCTCCAATTCAATGTCATATCCTGTTAGGCTGTTAGCCTCTCAACCAAGATTAAAATATCGTTACAACACTTCCTGTCTCCATCTCTCTCGATCTATATTAATACCCATATTTCCATGTCCCTCGTCTTCTGTAAAATCCTTCAATTTCAGGTACACAGTTTATAAAAGCAAACCACCTTTGGATCTCTTTCTCTTGGTATGCTTCTAAATCTTTTTTATTCATTCATTTCTCTTTCTTCCCGGTATTCAAATCGAGGATTCTAAAACTCTATCGAAACTGCTTCGCTTACCACATTGATATTTGTCTTTCCGAGACGTGAATGCATTGGAGCTGTTTCAGATTAATTGATTGTTCGTTTAATTGTATTCTTTTGAATTTGATGCTTAATCAACTCTTCTATTTATTGAAGACCCAATTTTTATACACAAAGGCCATGTTTGTTTGGGTGGACATGAGCTTGGGATTGGACTAATAGTCCAATAAAATTATTAATCCGATGTTTGGTTAGACAATTAAAGTACGGATTAATTATTTTAAACTTGATAATTAGTTAAGATAGGATACATAATCCAACGGATTCGTAGTATTAGGACTATTAGTCATAGGAATGCTAATCCAGTCCGCCGTAGTATTAGGACTATTAGTCATAGGAATGCTAATCCAGTCCGCCCAAACAAACATGGCCAAACTGAATGACGTGAGGTTGATTTGGGTTAGGACTCATGGAATTTGTACACGCATGGATCTATTCAATATCATTTTGTGTTATTACAGGTAAAGTTGGGATTTTTTTTTTTGCAATTGAAGCGCGTAAATTGGTGGGTTCTGACAGAGTTTAGTTTATTCGATCAAAGTGGCTTTTGAGTGTTAGAATTTGAGGTGAAAAAATGGAGGACGAAAAGAAGAAGAAGAAAAACAAGAAAAAGAAGAACAAGCAGACTAAAACAACAGGTGATGTGGTCACCCATGGTATTGGAGAATCGACTTATGAAGATCAGAATCATGTCATTGAGCATAATCATCACTATCAGGTTTTGGAGACTACAGATGTTCAAAATGAGGGGCCAAAAACTGATGTGGATCTGGATCTGGATAGACGTTGCATAAATGGTACCAAAGATGTAAGTTTGGTTTCAACTGAAATAACTTTTTGATCTGTACTTTTTTTTTCTTTTTTTTCTTTTTGAACAACCAAAAACTATATAGAAGCCATCAAGGCGAAGAGGAAGTTACATCGTCTCTAAGAATAGCAGTAAGAGCTCCAGGTGGGTTGGCAACCCAATCCAGAGCCAAGCTATTACAAGCATGAGCTTTTGCCAACCAGTTGGCTGCCCGATTGTTTACTCTAGAAGTCCATCGCGACTGCACAGGTTAATTTAGTTAGCATTGTCTGTCTTGTACATATTTGAGAACATTCGGATATGGTCGCAGCTCGTAAAAGTTTATAGTGTCTTGATTACTATCTAGTAATTTGTCCTCTAGCCTCTAGGAATCTTGCAACTGTTTTTCAATGCACAATTATTTTATAATAATAAAGTTCCTTTGCACACATGCATCAGATGTAAAAATAGCAGTAAGAGCTCCAGGTGGATTGGCAACCCAATCCAGAGCCAAGCTATTATTGAGCTTTTGCCAACCAGTTGGCTGCCCGATTGTTTACTCTAGAAGTCCATCGCAACTGCACAGGTTAATTTAGTTAGCATTGTCTGTCTTGTACATATTTGAGAACATTCGGATATGGTCGCAGCTCGTAAAAGTTTATAGTGTCTTGATTACTATCTAGTAATTTGTCCTCTAGCCTCTAGGAATCTTGCAACTGTTTTTCAATGCACAATTATTTTATAATAATAAAGTTCCTTTGCACACATGCATCAGATGTAAATCAAATATTAGACTTGTATACAGAAAGTTGGTGGTGAAATCTAGTTCTCCAGTTTTATGCCTATTGTCTGCTGAGGACAGGGTTAGGCCCAGATCCAAAATATTGTCATGATCAGTTCTAATTGTGTTCTGAACATCTAGCTATGCCTGAATTTTTGTTGACTCCAGTGTAAGTGAGTACTGCTATTTCTGGTTGAGAGAAAGTCCTGTTATTAAAATTTTAGTAAATATTTGACAGAATTGTTTGTGTGAGCCTCCATGCAGTTATATGCATTCTGGCGTAAACATTAAAAGAAAGCACAGTTTTCCCCCTTCTTTCGATTAAAACGCATAACTGAGATGATTTGTGCTATTTATTTTTCATTCCCTAGAAACTAGAATCTCCTTTGTGTTTTGACTCTCTATTTTTTGTGATAATTTGTCACCTTCTCTCATCTGTTACTTTATCTGTACTTCCGCAAACTTTTGGTACAGTCATCAGTATTTTCTGAAGCAGAGAAGCTGTATTGGATGGACAAAGGGGTGAGAGTTAATCAACCTGCACAATGATTTTTCTCTTTCCCATTATAATCCTGAGATTTAATTTCTTTGATTTCAACATTTATTAGGTAGAATTAGTAATTCATTGGTTTTTTTACAGGCTAGCTTGGAAGAGACAATCAAAAAAATACAAAAAGAAAATGATACACACATACAAAAAGGGGTAATAAATTTAGTGGGAGGAATAGATTGGTAATGATGTGATAAAGGACTTAGAGATGTGCTTTATCTTTTGGTATATGAATTGCACTTTTCTTCTACTTGCGTTAACCTGCTGGGTGTTTGACGGGATGTAATGTACAACTTACAGGCTTGCTTGGAAGAGAAAATAACGACATTACAAAAGGAAAATGCTGCGCACATACAGAAAGAGGTAATAAAAATTTAATATAAAAGGAGGAATAGATTGGTAGTGCAATCTTTCTTCTTCCTGTGTTATCCTGCTAGTTGTCCTATGGGAAAAGAAATCCACTCTTTGTATGTCTTACAGGCTAGCTTGGAAGAGACAATTAAAAACTTGCAAAAGGAAAATGATGCACACATGCAGAAAGAGGTAACCAAAATTTGATTTACTGGGAGGAATAGTTTGTTAATGTGACGAAGAACTTTGTAAACATATTGCATTTTTCTTCTACTTGTGTCAACGTGCTGGTCATCTGACACGATGATAGATCCATTCTTTTGTATGACTTACAGGCTTCTTTCGAGATGAAACTTTTGCAATTACAGAGTGAGAGAGGTTCTTGGCTTCAGAAAGAGGTGTGTGTGCTTTATGTTGGATAATGGGGTTATCTTGAAATTTGTAGATTTTTGGTAGTCAGCAGTTTATTTTTGACCACAGTTTTACCTATCAGAAAGTTCACTGCCCATAATCATTTTGTAGTAATCTTGTAACGGCTACTCCCCTTCCCACAACTCTGAAATCATCCTGGTTGCATCTTGAAACCTGGTTTTTTGCGGTCTTGAAAATTTTCAGGATGCTAGTGTAATCTAAAGTATTGTTCTGTACAGGCTGGCTTTGAGGAGAAAATTAATAAGTTGATAGATGAAACAGCTATTTTGAGTTTGAAAGGGGTAATTGTTTTTTTACTCTGTAATTTCATCGGTAGTACTTTTACTTGCCTCATTTCACAAATTATTTTTCGATGTTTCTCTGTTTATTATCATTGTTTGTATTCTACCTTTTTGCAAGTCATTTATGAGAAACATGAATTGCATAAAAAAATTTACTGTACAACATTTTACAGTTGAGCTTAGAGGAAAAAATCAAACAAATGGAGGGGGAGAGAGATTCTTGGGTCCAAAAAGAGGTAACTTTTTCTGTGTATGGTTTTTGGTATGATTTTCTGTGTATGGTTTTTGTTTTTGTTTTTTTTTAATCACTTTGAAGTACAGTTAACTATCTAATGAAAAAAAGAAAGAAAGTATCTAATGAATTCAAAACTTGTAGATGGAATCAATAGTTGTTCCCCACCCAGCAATTCATCATGTTATCTTTTAATACTTTCTACATAAAAATTGGGCCTTGCATTTTATTTTGCTTTAATATAATTTATTTATTCTTCCAAACTGAAAAGAACCGGGCATATATTACGTATATGGTTTTTTAAAGGCATATATATTTTACATTTCATATTGTCTTATGAATCCCACTATTCTCATATGGCAAGTAAATAGATAGTTTATTGTAGAGATCCATCTCAAAGACATGTCCCTGAACTCTATGCTGCTTGTATGTGTGAAAGTGTTTACACTTATTTGGCATGACAGTTTTGCCAAGTGGATTTTAATTTTTTGCTAAAAAATAACCAAGTTCCCATAGATTTGTTTCCTTCTTCCTAACCCACTCTACTTACTCATATGAACTGCATCCAAATTGGGCCTTGCCTTTTGTTTTGCATTTATATAATTTACTTAATCATCCAAACTGAAAAGAACCATGCTTATATTACTTATATTGTTTTAAGGTGTATCTATTTAATATTTCATATTTTCGTATGAATCCCAGTGTTCTCATGTAAATAGTTTTCTGTTTCTAAGACTTGTCCTTAAATCTATGCTTTGCTTCATGTATGTGTGGAAGCATTAACACTTGTTTGGCATGATAGTTTTACCAAGTGGCTTCTCTCTCTCTCTCTCTCTCTCCAAGACAGTAGTCAACAATTTATGTAAGATATTAGTTTGGTTGCTGTGCCTTATGAATTGTTTATCTCTGCAATTAAAATTGCTTGCTTTTTCTCTTCAATAATGCATAGAAAACTAAAATATAATGACATTTATACTGTTTTCTATATTTTATTTTGTGTTCCTCGTTTTTGATAGAACTCAACGAAAGAAACAGTTGATAGCCTTAGTGGTGATAACACAAGACTGCAAGCAAAGGTACATAGCCTTATTGTCAATATGAATGCAACGCCTGCAATCCTTTAAGCTTTGTATATGTTGCATGCTTTCATGGTTACTTGGTTCACCTATCAGAACTTAGTAAAATCATATCAAACTGATTAAATGGTTCTGCCTCGTTTGGCAACCGAACTTTTTAGCCAAAAAGTCAAAAAGTTACTAAATTAGCCAAAAAGCTAACAACCCATACCAAAAAGTCAAAGATTCTCTTTTCTCTCTACTTTTTGCACATCTTTTCGTAAAAAGCCAAAAAGTCATCCCAAACATACTAGTTTTTTTTAGCACATATTTTAGCCAAATAGCTAAAAAGTTACTAAATTAGCTTGTTCCCAAACGAAAGTGGTGATAACACAAGCATTTTTGTGCATGCAGAGAACAATTTGGTGGCATTACGATATTAGGTGTTTTGTTCTTAAAATTGTTTGGACAAATTTTGTCCAGAAATGCTTTGCATTTTATTGTTCTTTATTTGGAAATATAAGAGAATATTGATCTCCTCCTAACTTGTATAACAATAACAGGTAGGAACATATTGAGAATAAAAGCATGTTGGTACTTTCATGCTTCTAAGATAGATAGAATTAGACCACTAATTGGTGGCATTACGATATTAGGTGTTTTGTTCTTAAAATTATTAAGCCTTCCTGTCTTAGCTGTACATTTTCTGCATTTACAAACTGCTGATGAGGTTAGTAAAGTGTACAATTCTGTGGGATCCTTTGGTTTCATGGTCTTTTTTCTTTTTCTTTTATTTCTTTTTTTCCTTTTTCCTTCTTATATTCCCATGCCTTTTTGTCTGTGTTGTTCTGTTGCCTATGACAATCGAGCTGGAAAGGATGTCATAGTTCGTGTACAACTTATCACTCATTTACAAACCATTTAGAGCAAGCAGTAGTATTTGTTCTGATATGAATATTGAAATCAAAGCCTGGCAGGTGATGGAGTTGGAAGAATCCGGTAACTATCTCTTACGAGAAAACCAGCAGCTGGCAGAAAGCATGTCTGGTCTTCAATCCCAGATCCAGAATCTTGAGAAGAGTATTGCTTCTGCTCATACATCAACTATGCAGCCAATGGTATGTTTCCAGTATCCTAGCTGATTGTCATATTTTGGACTGGTCATCTGTTTCTGCTGTATGTAGTTAGTTCTGGGCTTTTGGCGCCTGCCACAGGACCCGAAAAAGGGGAAAACAAAAAAAAAAAAAATACTAGAGGAAAAGTAGTAGTTACTAATAGAAACCTTGGCAGCACATCGGAGTAGTAGTTACTAATAAATAGTTCATCTGTTTCACAAATGAACATTGGAGTAGTAGTTAGATGAACTATTTATTCTGTTGAAAATTCATTCTCTCTTATTGATGTCTCTCTTCGTATGTTGATATTTTTACATGTACTCGTACTATAGCATGCTTCTGGAGGTGAGGACACAAACACTCAGATGGATGCTGCACAGCAACTGGTTGAGAAATTGGTTACCGAAAATGCAGAGCTTGTTGAGAAGGTGATAAACAATCCCTTTTAGATTTCATATATAATAAAATTAAAAAAGAAAGCTTCTGAAGACAGTGTCTCCTTTAATCGTATTAGGTTAGTTTTGTTCACTTGGTCTTTGTGCATTATTAGACTCTAGTTATATACCCTATGCTAAAATTTTACATGTATATTTCCCTTGTTTTTCTTTGCAAATTTTTTAACAAATCAGGTATAGTTTTTTTTGATATATTTTTATTAGATTTACATAATTCTTGTGCTATTTTCTGTTTCAGGTGAATGAATTATATGTCGAGCTCGATCAACAGGGTGTAACATCTGACCTCTCTCAAGATGTTGGATCTGAACTGACTGCTGGAACTGCCGAAAAAATCTATGTTGCCGATTCTATATCTGAATTTAGCAAGAGGACATCTGCATATGATGAGAGACCAGATTCCCCCAAACATGTTCTGATTAAAGACACGAGCGATTGTGGTGATGGTGTGAATGCCAAGGATATTGCCCATATTGCTGGCTCCATAGCTGATTCCATGGAAGATGTTGCTATTAAAGCCGAGGGGGACGATGGTGAATATATTTATGCGAAGGACACAGCTGTTATACCGAACTCTCCAGATACAGTGGACTCTGAAGAAATTGTGCAGATTCCGTTGGATGAGAACGAAGTTGGGGATCCTGGGTTGCAGCTGACCCATGATGATCAAACGATCCATGTCCCAATCACCGATGCTCCACTAATTGGGGCTCCTTTCCGCTTAATATCTTTTGTTGCTAGGTATGTTAGCGGTGCTGATTTGGTAAGCAAGAGCTCTGTGAATTCAGAGACAGTAAATTCGCACGAGTAATTTGGGATGATTCATTCATTGTCATTGTAGCGAGAGTGAAATTTCACGTACCTTTGATTAGAGAAGGACCCAAATGTGGTCATATACATTGTTTTGTGATAAACACATGATAGCTGTTTTGGTAAAGGATATACTGCTAAATTTTACGAACATTGTTTTGACTTGTACTATGACGTTGTTGTACATTGAAAAAACACAACAATTTTAGTTTGGACTATCGTTGGATTCCCTTGGTTTTGCAGTGGCCCAATATGTGATATGTAATGTATTGCTAGTGAATGTGAAATGATATATGTTTGATGTGATTGTGTATGTTATTGGATTGCTTAGATTTGGATTCAGTGCAACAAACATATATGTTCAGAAAATGACATTGAATTTGTTTTTATTTATTTATTTATTTATTTTTATAGCATTAACAGTACAAACAAGCTGTAACAAGACTCCAAACAAAAAACTCAACTAGAAAACAAACCAGAAACTGTAGTAATACTATGCTCTCACAGCTACCATTTTTGAACTCACACAATGTTATTACCTTAAAACATAACATCAATGCTTTCAAATGACTGGCAAGAATTGGAAACAAGAGAAATTATTGGTAAAAACTAATTAAAATTGATAACACATCGCAAACAATCTACCTGTAGGACACATTTCATTGTCAGAAAGAACTCGCATATGATGTTTTGAATACAATTCACTGTTGAAACTGAACTAAAAAGAACTGCTTTAAGTACAAACCTACGAATATTGGGCAGCAGTATCATTGCCATCATCAAGGTGTGTTTGAGTAGTTCAAGCTGGGCTTCTGTTCTGTGAGTCAGATGGTCGGATTTCTTCAATCATCCGAACAACTTGGTCCATCTTAGGCCTCATATCTGCCACCTTCTCCACGCAAGCCATTGCAATCTGAAGCATCTGCACCATCTCTTCTTCAATATTCTGATACTTCATTAGCTCAACATCAAAAACTTCAGCTGTCCATTCCTCTCTAACAACAGACTGGACCCACCTTGGGAGATCGACCACATCATCATGGCCCAGTGACTGAACTGGTGCTTTCCCTGTCAGCACCTCAAGGAGCAGAATGCCAAAGCTGTAAACATCTGATTTTTGAGTAAATTTCCTAGTTTCAATTGTCTCGGGGGCTCGATAGCCTGCAGTTCTAGGTGAGACGGTAGGGAAGCCCATGAGAGGAGTTAGTCCAAAATCAGAAATGCAGCCTTGGAGGCTTCGGGTGAGGAGGACATTGGAGGATTTGATGTTTCCGTGTGTGAGTTTCCCACCACCAGCAGAGTGGATATGGGCAACACCCTTTGCGGCTCCAAGGCAAATCTTTACTCTGGATTCCCAGTCAAGCGTTCTTCCACTCTCCCTGTTTCCTGTAGCCATTACAACACAAACAAATGGTTGATTCATGTTTTAAAGTGATTCACAAATTAGAAATGAGAAAAACATAAAAAGAAAGTAGTAGTGTATACCATGCAATTGTGCGGACAAGCTGCCAAGCGGCATGTTGTCATAAACCAGAAGTTTCTCATCCTTGGAATAGTAATAAGCACGAAGAGTCATGACATTTGGGTGCTGACCGACCACCCTCCCCACCATCTCCATCTGTTGTTCAAACTCTCTTTTACCAACCACCACTTCCTTCAGCCTCTTTACAACTACTGTTGTTCCCTCTTCCAGAATAGCCTTATAAGTTGTCCCATAACTCCCCTTTCCAGTAACTTCAGCAGAGGCTCTCAATAAATCCTCAAGATCAAAAGTATGCAAACAGCCTTCAAAGAAAACCAACTTGTTCTTCTCAGCATCCTGCACCCCACTGCTGAAATCCTCCTTAGGAGGCTCATTCCTTCCAACGCTGTAGGCCACCTTCGCTTTCTGCACATGACCACTTCCACCATCTTTTTTCTTCAAGCAGCATAGCACCATGATCAGAAGAGGAAGAAACAGCACTGCAAAACCCCCAGTTGCAATTGCGATAATAGCTCCTGTAGTCAATTTCGTTTTGGTTTTTTGTTTTTGAGGGAGTGTCGGTGAGGGTGGCAAGTAAGCTGGGGCAAGAGAAGGTGGCAAGTAAGTTGGGGATAGAGAAGGTGGGAAAAAAGATCGGGAAGGAGCGGGTGAGGGGCTCATAGGGCACTGGTTCAGTGGTGACCCACATAACAAAGAGTTCCCTTTGAAAGAGGAAGCAGGAAATTTCTTGAGGGAAGATGGAATTGAGCCATTCAAATGGTTGTTGCTCAAATTAAAATGCTTAAGATTTGGGAGATTGAGATTGGGGATGGTTCCAGTGAGGGAATTGTTCTGGAGATTCAGTCCAGTGAGAAATGTCAAATTCTGAATAGAGTTTGGAATGCTGCCCGTGAAGGAATTGAAGGAGAGGTCGAGAAAGTTGAGTTGAGGGGGGAGAGAGGAAGGAATATCTCCTGAAAAGCTATTCTGTTGAAGGTATAAATAGTGGAGGGAAGGAAGGGAAATAACATCAGATGGAAGATTCCCATTGAGGTTGTTGGATCGAAGGCTGAGGATCGTGAGTGCATCCAGCTTCCCAAGGGTGTTGGCTGGAATTGGACCATAGAATCCAACACCAGGGAGCCGTAGAGAAATTACTCGAGTGCCATTTGGGTCACAAGATACACCAGCCCAAGAGGTGCAGATTGGTGATCTAGAATTCCAGTTGAGTTTTCGGCCATGGGGAACAGCGGCAACAAAATTAAGGAGGGCTTGTTTGTCTGTCTTGAGGTCAGCAATAGTTTGGGAGACAAGAAACAAGAATAAGAGCAAAGGTAATGCTGCAAAAGAAGAGAGTAGCCTCATGGGGAGTTGTTGGTGATGTGTCTGTGGAGATGATGATTATTATGAGTCTAATCTAAGCAATTCCTCTTGCTCTCCTGGGACAGCCATGGAATATTACTACTCATCTTCCACCTTCCTCCTACCACCATCAAACCATAGTAGCTGAGCATACCTAAAAAAAACAAAAACAAAAAATAAAAAAAGATGTAAATGCATATTAAAACAGATTGAAAAGAATTATTTCTTATTTTGCAGAAAGCAAGCCTTATGAAGTTGATCAATGCCCCCATAGTTACTTAATAATGAAGCAAATAGGATGCACTTGATAGAAAGAATGATTTCTAAAGAATGGAAGTTCTTAATTTTTCACCTTAAATGGTTGATGCTTTTCTATGTTATGCTAACCATAGACTTGAAATCATGACTGCAGAGAGCTACGTTTCAATGAAAACTGAACTTTTCAGTACAGAATCAAAATTTAAAGGAAAATTAAAATTTTGTTTTGGCATTTTCACAATGTAATACCAATAAATCATCAAATATATATATATATATATATAAAATGGTATAGTAGCAATCTATACCGTCCTTTTCTTTAAAACATTTTGTGCATGATGACCTGATCTTGTGAAGAAGTAATTTTATTAGTATGTGTGCTTTAGGTGAGGATATACAAGTCCAATAGCTTTTGGCTTGTGTACTATAAACAAGAGCAGGCGAAGGAGCTGCTACACCATATTCTCTCAACTAAACCAAGAAAAACACAACAGAAAACAACAGACAGCCCCTTGCCCCACAAACCTTAAATAAAGAGAGGAAATCAAAAGCGGCACACGTCATGGCTTTAAAAAATTCAGCTGAAACGTCAGATGTGGGCTTTTCAGTGAAGCAAAGTGTGGAAATAAAAAACTCCAGAATAGCTAAACCCTTTGTTTATGGCGGGGAAGACACAACAAAATTGTCTTTTCAACCCAAACTCTTTGTTGAGCTATTCAGATTAAAGACATGTAAAGGAGAAGGCAAGTATTATTTTTCTTTGCAAAAAAATTCTCCCTTTAAGAACTCCTTATTGTTCCTTTTAAATACTAAGAAGTTCAGGGAAACATAGGAAAATCAATGGTCATGCATTTTCTAATACGAATTTGGCATTACCAGGGACAATATAATGGACAAATTAACAAATGGCCTTGCTATAGATCAATATTCTTACACTAAACAAAAATTCTTACACTTAAACACTGTTGTTTTGCTTCGGTTGCCTTAGCTCACTCAACTCTATCCCAATACAAAATCAACCAAATCAGCCCTAAAAAGTAAAAGCCATAAAAAAAAAATCAATTATTCTCATACAAGTACTCATTCATCGAAATAACAACCTCATAGTTCGCACCCCCTTATTTTCTATCGAAAGTAATTTTTAGTTCTAGTTTTCCTGACAAGAATGTGAATTCCACTGGTGAAGGGAAGTATTAACACTTATACTTTCAAAAGCCATAAAAAAAAAAAATCAATTATTCTCATACAAGTACTCATTCATCGAAATAACAACCTCATAGTTCGCACCCCCTTATTTTCTATCGAAAGTAATTTTTAGTTCTAGTTTTCCTGACAAGAATGTGAATTCCACTGGTGAAGGGAAGTATTAACACTTATCCTTTCAAGCATTTGAATCTAAATCAAAGTGTCTGAAGAGCAAAGCTCTGGCTCTTCATTAACCATAAATTGTAGTGTGATAATTTATCATTCTATTTTTCTTCATTGTTACAATCCCTAGTTGTGGAAAAGTGCAATCAGTGAAAAACAATTGGATATGCCAAAGTTTTTGTCAAGGTCAAACGAGTGTAGAACGCAAGGTTTACCGTTGATTTACTGGCATTTACTTCAACTGAGGCTCTGATCATCCACCTCTAGATCGAAGACTGAAGCAGAACAAGAGACATTGCAGAGACAGAGAGAGAGAGAGAGATGTGAAGTGTAATCAGAGTTGAGAAAGCTAATGCTATGTTTTGGATCTTGTTTTGTAATTACTTATTATTCATATTGAGTAAACAGCCAAAAAGTAGAATTTTCTTTTCTTTTTTTTGACAATTATATATTGTTGATTTTCTTTTCTTTCACTCAATCCAACCTAAAAAAAAAACAAAACAAAACAAAACAAAACAAAAAATTACTTCTTTCACTGAGTTTTCTTTCACCATCTTTTCATTTTCTCTCAACAAATCTAAGATCTAAACATAACAAGTCAAATTTTTTAGCGAGACACTAAAGACATTCATATTTCGTACAAAAACTCTCTTGGAGGCATGGTGAGCTACACCAAACCTCAACAAGAAGCTTCGCAAATTAAGACTAGTACAAACCAAGCAAAATGGAGAGAATGCAAAATTACTAACATTGAAAAAAATAAAATAAATAAAAAATGCATACAAATACACATAAATTTTAAACATTCACATCTACATATGCACACAGAGAGTGAGAAAGAGAGAGAGAGAGAGAGAGAGAGAGAGAGAGATTAGACCTTGAATTTCTCAAAGCTTTAGTGATCTGGAAATCTAAAGCTCACAAAAATCCGGAACAGAGAGAGGCACTATTATGTATCTCTAATTCTATATAAATATAAATGTATTTTGGTCACTAACTTCCAACGGCATTCTCGTCTCTCTCTCTCTCAGAACAGAGGGGGAGAGAGAATATGAGTGATGAGAGACAGAGAGAATAAAAGCTTTGGATTCAAAGGTTAAAAAGACACTTGCTGAGAAACGAAATTCCACAGCTTCTTCGTCAAGCAAACGGAGGAAGACACAGATCTCGATGATAAATTACTTTATGCCTCAATATGTATATATATTCTCTTCTTTCTACAAGCTTTAGCCATCTCGCTTCTCTCTCTCTCTCTCTCTCTTAAATTGTTGGCGAACTACATTTTGAAGAAAACTAGTAGCGGCTTTGCTCTGCTCATAATGTAATCATTCGTCTTGTTTGGTGAGAAAATAAAAATAAAAAAGAGATGCAGAAATTAGTTTATTGACTGTGAATGAATGAATGTGATAATAAAAATGAATTATATATATATATATATATAAATGTAGTTTTCGTATCCCTGTGGATTAACCATTTGTCTTCGCTGCCTCATCTGCCACTACCCCTGCCCCCAAGCAACCAGGTACGGACTCCACGTTTAAAATATATAAAAATTCTAACATTGATAGAGATCCCTTCGATCACCATCCCACTACCCCTCCCTCTATACACACGTGGCAGATAATGATTGACAAAGAAAGAAAAAAGAAAAAAAAAAAAAAATTAACCAATTGAAGGGAAAAGGGGTAAAAGGGATGGAAGGAAAAAGGAATTTAAAACATTTTTCATAAAAATTTTAAGAACAAAAACAAACAATTTTTATTTGTAATGAAAAGTAAACTTACCTTCCGTTTGGCATGTCAGGTTTTGTTTTTGATTTTTTTGATTATTTTAGTTAAGATAACAAAACGACATCGTTTTGACATGTTTTGTGCTCAAAACGACGTCGTTTTGACAGTTTTGAGCCATTTTTTTGTGGCTCTCTACCATTGCCCAAATTTTTTAATTTAATAAGATAAAATAACACATTTAAATTATAATCATTTTATTTTTTTTCTTACAAAAATTTAACGTTTTAGCCCATGCTAAAATAACCAAAAAGTCTAAAAATCAAAAAACTAACTTACATTCCAAACGAACCCTTAATAATAAAACAAAATTAATTTTCTTATATTCACGTTAGAAAATAAAAGCAAATGTTGACAAATAGCTTAATATTAAAATTAAGTTGGGTTTGATACTCCATCGACTGTTTTTGGAAATTTGGTGATTTTTAACTTATTTTGAGTTGTATCACTTATTTATTTTTTTATATGTTTTTTCAAAAAAAAAAAAATTAGAAGGCCAAAAAATAAGCTTTTAACCTAGTATAATTAATATTAAATTTTTGAATAATGTATTTCTCAATTGATGTGATCAAAATAACCTGTTGATTTCTCTAAATTTTTCTCCAACAATGCTAGAGGGTCACAATTTTTATAGCCACAATGGCTTAAAACTGCCAAAACGACGTCATTTTAGGTGCAAAACATGCCAAAACGACGTCGTTTTGACAATTTTGAGCCATTGTGACGATAAAAATTGTGACCCTCAAACATTTTCCATTTTTCTCTTATCTGCAGGTTAGGATTTGTAAGTATCAGAGAGTTATGAAAAACTTTAGTACATATTTTTTTATTTTTTTAAAAAAATTATACTTTAGTCCACATGTTTCATAATATAAAAGGGTAGCCACTTAAATTTATTTTAAAAACTTAAAGGGGGGGGTTACTTAATTTTTAAAAATAACTTGGAAGGACAAACTTATATAATTTAAAAATAATTAATAATAAATACTAATATATATATATATATAATAAAAGAGTTTTTTTTTTCAAATTCTAAGAGGGTGATGTCTCCCTTGGCCCCTCTGGGTACATTCTTGGCCCAAAACAATTTAACACAACTTTAGCTCTGTAGTTTTAAAGTTTGAGGTATAATAAATTCAAACCCTAGCTAAATTGCCATCTCATAAAAACTAAAAAAAAGGACAAAAAAAACAAGAAGCTTACATAACTCAATGGCAGATCTTAAGAAAAGTCTATGCATATGCATGAAAGCCGCACAATGACAATGCATTATTAAAAGGTCATATAATTTGCAAGTATTACTACAATTATTTACTTTGTAGAATTTTATGTGGATCATTTATGAAACATTCAAATAATTTGATATTCATAACTATATGATTTTATTATATTTTTGTTAAAAAAAAAGAGGAAAAATTAGTCTAAGATCCCTCTCATATTTTTAATAATGAAAGAGACCCACAATATTATTTTTTAATATCTAAAGTCCCTAAACCCACACTCATATATCAGATCAGAGAAATTTGACTATCTTTCTCTCTTCTCGATCTTCATTCTATCCAAACTAAACCCTCTCTCTTTGTGCACATTCCTCTCTCCCTCTGCTCATTTCTCCTCTCTGTCTTCATCTCTGACGTCGCCAGCTTCACCTTCGCCCTTGTCTCTACCACGCCGTCGTCAAAATATCACAATCTGAGCCGGACCACAACGATCTGAGCTGCGAACCACCATGATCTGAGTCTAACTATCGCGATATGAGCCGCGAACCACCACAATCTGAGTCAGACCACCGCGATCTGAGCTGAAATCAACGCTGACGATCGAGTTGCCTTGTTGATGTCGTGGCTGTCTTCATCGCTGCTGCCACTGGCGCTGTTTTTGTCGCCGCCGAGCACCACCGCTTGATGGTGGTAGTGGTGGGGTCACAACCCAAACCCCCCCTGTAGGTTTAGCATCGTAACCGGCCAGTAATCCTTGGATTACCAAAAGCCTCTGACAAATTAGCAAATAGTAAGGGGTTGCGGAAGTAATTATACAAAATAGACAAGGTCCAATGAGCTGTGATGACATATATGGGACAAAAGATTTCAAAACTTATATATATATATATATATACATGAGCATACCGGTTGAAGGACACCAATATTTACAAACATTTACAAAAGTGTAATTCCCAGGACCCAACTTTACAAAACAGACAGAGACTAGCATAAGTACAAAAACAGCCATATAACTAGACTTCGATCGGAACCTCCTCAAGAGGCACAACGGTTGGCTAACAAAAACAGAGGTGAAGGCCGTCAACTCTAGCCCTGATCACGCGACGGCTCACCTACATATATAATATAAACTGTGAGCGAAAGCTCAGTGAACAATAACATAGTAAAAGGGTTTCAATGAATGAGTCCGTACAGATTCAGAAATCATAATTCATAATTTGTCCAGATCATATACAGAAATCATGAGGTATACATAAATATACGTGATACATCTGTTAGCATTAACAGAGTAGATACAGAACAGATGCAGACACGTGAGGGTTACGAATAACCAGTTCCATAAAGGAACCTCCGGATCCGGGTAATAGAGAGTAAACACGTTGAGCCCCCATGACGGGGCCTCCGATCCGGGTAATAGAGTGCAGACAGATTAAGTTCCATAAAGGAACCTCCGATACCAGGTAACAGCCAACAGATATCACATGATGCTAAGGATGTCACGAATACATAACAAAAATTGAACAATTATTCATTGTACAGAACATATCATTTCAAAAAACAGATCTTAATTTATCACACAGAAAATAAGTAAAGTTGAACATATCTTTACTATGTTATTACTCACAATTGGCCTTGAGACAGATAGACGGTGCAGGTTGGTCAAACAGTACGTAGCACGTGACCTACATAACCCATAACAGATACACACTTGAAGCACACGTTCTAATTGTTCATAACTTACTTTGTTGGCTCTTAGTGTGTTTCTAACCTTTAATCCTCATTATGGAATCTTAAACATGGCCTAGGAATGTCTAGGATTGGATGAGGAAGCAAGAGTACATTGGAAAATATTTCTTAAAATTTGTTGAAAATAAAGTCCACGCTCGAACGTGGGTTTTCCCGCTCGAGCGGACATGCAGACAATGAAGCCCCGCTCGAGCGTGGACTTCCCCGCTCGAACAGACTGTAAACCTCAACAGAAGTACTGGATGCATGTTTTCACGCTTGACGGGCGCTCGACCTACGCTCGAGCGTGAGACTCAGAACCTCGCTCGAGCGTGGATTCCCTCGCTTGAGCGGACTATAAAACACAAGAACTTCTGGGTATATACATTTTACGCTCGAGCGGAGTGCATGTACTCAGGGTATACGCTCGAGCGTAAAGTTCCACGCTCGAGCATAGATCAAATTTCTGGAAATTCCAGATTTGATCACCAAGCTCAAATTCGACCTTAAATGCATCAAACTCAATTTTCTTGGACCAAAACTTTAGAAAACACCTAGAAACTCATAAAACAACATGTTTACAGCATCATTTCAAGAAATCATGGCCCAAGAGTAAACCAATTGTACAAAATTCAGCTTTAAACTCAAAATCAATTTATGAACATGACATGCATGTACATTTTTGAGCTAAGGCTCTCCAAAACATGATCAAATGCTACTAAATAACATAAAACTCATTGTTTTCCCAAAATTAAAGTGAACTCAACACATGCATGAGGGAATTCTTGAAAATCATCCTTCAAAATGCTATGAAACATGCATGCATGCATGGATTGACCTTCCTCTTTAGCCCTTAAGCTTGATTCTCATATCTTATAGCTCAATTAACTTGAATTCATGCATGAACAACTGAAATTCATAAACAAAATGGTGAATTTCCTACCTCAAGCCTTGAATTCTAAGTGTAAAGGCCTAATCTCCCAAGTCTTCTTCAAACTCCTCTAATTTTTAAGCAAACTTTCTTGTTGAATCAATTCTCCCAACTCTCCTTCTCTCTCTCGGTTCTCTCCCTTAGAATGAGCTCAAATATGATCAAAATAAATAAAAAAGGTGAGTAGGGCTCAATTAGCCTAATAAGTAGTAATTTGTTCAAAAATAAACAAATGACATTATTTTAATCAAATTTAATCGTTCCGAACCGAATTTTAATCAAACCTACCATAAAATTCTATAAATCCTAACTAACACATAAATCAAGTCAATTTATGATTCGGTTGTCGATAAGGCTTTCAATTCACAACCCGAAACTAAAATGTGAACAGATCTTTCCACATCGTACAGATAAAGACACAAAAATAATGCAACACACATGTAAATTAATTCCAAATCTCTCCTAAATTACTGTTAGGCATAATTAAATACGAATTAATAATAATCAGAGGTCAGGGTTGTTACAAGTGGTAAGGTGGGAGTTTCGGCCATCTTCTTCTTCTTCTTCAACCTTCTCTTTGTAAGTACATGTGTGATAGTGATCATATTAATTTCTAGAGTAGGCAATTTCTGGAGATAATCCACATGAGTGTATGAGGTAAGACACCGTAAAACACTATTGCTTTTCGATTTCATAGTTCATTGTTGGTCTTGCTGATCTTCTCTTTGATGAGAAGAAATTGATGGGTATTATTATATGTAGTTTTTGAAGAAAACCCAGATGGATAGTCTCAGTGAAATTTGTTTGTTTG